AAAATTTATGCATATAAAGGCTGGTACACAGGGCATGAATCAATCAGTAAGTGAAATCTATCCAAGTCAGTTTCTTAAATTTACAATTCATTCATTGGAAAAAAAAAATATCCGTTTGTCCTGCTTTATCATCGCAGCTGGATTGGTGGTCAAGGGGAATAAAACCATCAGAAAGTTTCCTCAACATTTTCAGCCTGTTTACCATCCACTCTGAGCTTGATAAAAGCTTCTTTCAGTCAGGAGACAATGTGAAATGGAACATGACCCCCAAATCAATAGATTACACTTATTGAAAGGATAAATAATTGGAGCAATGTTATTGAACATAAAGCAGATTATTTAGATAACGTGCAAGTTTCCAGTTTTATCAGGTCAATTTTCTGGCGTTCAGAAAGTACTGAGGGAAGGGCTGGCTTTAAGGGACGTTCCTTTTGCGTCCAAATATAGCAATTTTTTTTTTTACATTTGGTTACTTAACCTCTTTTTGTGTGTTCTGAGAAATATAGAATCTGTGGCCACAAAAGGCACTGAAGTTGTCATGTATTTGTGAAGTAGGTACAACTGTGGTCAAGGTATTTCGCTTTTAACAGTCCTTTAGGGTGTGAATATGGCTTAGTGACTTTATATACACAGAATTATCAAATATAGATATTGGGTCTTCTCCTGCATTGGAAACACACTCTCTGTGTGATCTTAGGCAAATCGATTTCCCTAACAATAACAAGAACAACAACAATAATAATGATATCTATTATTTACATAGTGCTTTAAGGTTTGTAGACTCCTCACAGAAACCCTGGGAGATAAGTGCTATTATTATCCCCATTTTTTTCAGAAAAGGAAATTGAGGTTGAACTAGATTAAGTGATTTGTCCATGATAAAATTATGTCTGAGAGGGGATTTGAACTCAAGTCTTCCTGACTCTATGTCCAGCTCTATATAATGGGCCACCCAGCTGCTGAAGTATTCGCATGGGCCTTTAAGTCATACAAAATTGCTTTATTAAATTATCTCATTTAATTATGGGATTATGAATCTAGAGCTAAAAGGGACTTTAGAAATCATCTCATAAAATATTTCCATTTTACAGATGAAGAAACTAAGAAACTTTGTTCTTTGCTGTAAAATAAAGAAGTCAGACTTCTAGCTGTAACTTTATGTTCCTGTGATTCTAAACTGTTGTCCAGAAAAGTGATGCATTTTTCTCTAAGATATACCTCTAATTAGTGGTAGAATCTTTGCATTCTCAGTATAATAACTTCAACTTTTTTGTGCGGGGAAATGGCTCTGTCATTTCATTGGTATGGAGAGCTCCCCCATAATGGATCTCCTCTTACCAATAGCAAAGAAACCCTACCAATATTTTGGTTTGTTGTTCAGTCTTGTCTGACTCTTCGTGACCCCATTTGTGGTTTTCTTGGGAAAGATACTACAGTGGTTTGCCATTTCCTTCTCCAGCTGATTTTACAGATGAAGAAACTGAGGCAAATAGAATTAAGCAATATGCCCAGGGTCACACAACTAGTCAGTGTCTGAAGCCAGATTCAAACTCACAAAGGTGAATCTTCCTGATTCCAGACCCAGCATTCTATCCATGGTGCCACCTAGCTGCCCTTAACCAATATAGATTACCTTTTTCTCAGCAACTTATCCTTTACAACAGTTGCATGGAGCACTGAGAAGCTAATTTGCCCAAAGTCATATGGCCAGTATCTATCAGAAGTGGGACTTGAACTCCTGACTTCCTGACTTCCAATCATCCTCTCTCTCAACTTTGCCATGATAGTGCTGGCCTTTCACAGAAGGGGTATATCATGTTTGTTTAACTGAATTGGGGTCATAACTAAAATCCAAATCTCATAACCCTTAACATACTAAGTCTTCTAGTGTTGAGTGGGGTAAGTATATTCCTCCATATGGTTGTGAAGAAAATGCCTTGCAAAATGGTAAAATGTTATTTACATGTGAATAGCTATTCTCATCAGCCTGGCTGTCTAAGAGAGAGCTTTAGCAATAGCAGCTGGCATGCCTCTAAGTCATACAAAATGGCCTTATTTACATTATTTTATTTAATTGTGGGATTGTAGTTCATGAGCTGGAAGGGACTTTAGAATTCATCTAGTCAAAAACTCCCATTAAATGACTTATTCTGGGTCACAGCTAATAAGTGACAGAACTGGGATTTGAATTCAGGTTTTCCCAGTTATTTTTGATAGAAAAAACTGCTGCCGATTCAGTGTGATTTGAAGACACTGGAAAACTCCTCCCCCACTACTCCCAATTATCTGATTATATTCTATCCCACACCATCCTACACTAATCTGCTTGATGTCTGAACTTTTCGCAATCCATTGGGAATGAGCTGGTTTCCTATAATATGTTCTTAAAATCTATTTTGCTGAGAAGTGGCAGCAGCATCTATTAGTACATACTAAATGCATTAGTACAGATTTGTTTATTAGCTAATTAGCTGACACCTTGGAAATCAAAAAGGAGGCCTCTAGGGAAATGAACACAGCATAGGGAAATTTGAATAAGGACAGGAGTGAGACCCAGAATGTTGTTTTTTCAGGAAGGCGGACCTAGCGAGGGCTGGCAATGTGCTCTCTCAGGCCGTCTATGCTCTATAAGAGGTCATGGGCTCTTGTTAGGAGAGCTGGCTCCCAAAATTAGACAGGGAAAATGAGCTAACCCATTTCTCTTGGTTCTTGACCCCTATAAAAATGAAAGTGAGGCCTGTCACGAAAACCAATAGCCCACCAGCAACTAATCCTAGGTCTCACCATCACAGCTTCCTTTCTCATTGCACTTTAGGGTTTGCTCAGGACTTCTCCCACAACTGTGTGAGGTAGATACTAAGGATATTGTTCTCTTTCGCTAGCAAGGAAACTGAGGCTTAGGAAGGGCCACAGTCATTCTGATGGTAGGAGTTATACCTGCCACTGGAACTAGCGCTAGAACCCAGACTCTGAATCCAAGACTTATTGCTCTTTGTCCCCTATACCACACTGCCTCCCAACACAAGGAGAACAGTTCATCAGGACTATCTCTAGCATTGCTGGGCAAGAGCCCAAGACATTTGGAAAGAGAGGCTGCAGTGACAGATTGCAAAGTTCATCACTTAAGGCATGTGGTAGCTTAGACCAGAGGGATGCCTTAGAGACTACTTTGGAGTACCCCCAATGAAAGAAAGAGACAAGGAAGGGAGTCACGTTCCAAAGTCTCTGGAAGGCTTTGTGATGAGTTGGCTCCTAAAGAAAGCCACCCAAGACCCACTTGCATTTCCTCTATTTCCAGAATTAAAGATTTATGATGGCCACATATTTTCTGTTTTTCATCTATTTTATCTCATATATGGTAGGATTATATCATATTTAGATCCCTCTCATCTTGGCCAACTTCCTCTACTCTCTCTTTCTTTCTTTCTTCCTTTCTTTCTTTCTTTCTTTCTTTCTTTCTTTCTTTCTTTCTCTTTTCCTTTCGATGGGTTGTTTGCTTGTTTATTGTTTTAAACCATAGTAGTCTGCCCTACATTCATGTTTTCTTCCCAAGTATGAAAGACACACCCGTTTTGAATTGGACAGTAAAATGTTTTGTCATATTTTCCTTTGAAGTCAAGTTTGTAATGGAAATATGCCAGAGCATCATTCAGCACAGTACCTTCACTGCTAGGACAGAAACAATCATAAACTGGCACTTATACACCATTGGGGGGACCATGAATTGGTTCAACCAATTGGTGCAAATCAAGTAGGAATTGTGCACAAATAGGGTGGTTAATGTGTCAATAATAATAGCTAACATGTATATAACTTTTTAAGATCTACAGAATACTTTACATACATTATCTCATTTGATCTTCACAAAAACCCTGTGAGGTAAATCCTATTATTCTACCCATTTTACAGATAAGGAAACTGATGTTAGATGACTTACCCCAAGTCACACAGCAATATTTGATCTCAGGTCTAGCACTCTGCCCATTGAGCCACCTCACTGCCTGTCTCATTGCTTCATGGATCCCACTGCTGGGCATATAAACCAAGGAAGTCAATGAAAAAATACACTCTAAAATATTTTTAGCAATCTGTTTTGTAGTAGCAAAGACCCAAAAACAAAGTAGCTGACCATGAATTGGGGAATAGCTAAACAAATAAGTTGTCATACGTGCATAGAATAGACTATTACACAGCAATCTGTTCATCCTTCATTTTAGAAGAGGAGCCATTAATGACATCATGGGGTGATGGAATTAGATTTGTGAGGAAGAGTTACTCAAAGTCGTCAGTCTCACTCTCTTTTCAAAAGTCATCAAAGTCATCATGACTCTCCCAAGTCATTGAAGTCCAATGGCAGGGCAAAAGTCAAGATGACTGGCAACGGCCTGGAATTTGGTGAGTGACCTTGGTGTTTTTGATGTTTGACTAAGCTCTAAGTGTTCCATGGGTGCCTGTTTCATCTGTCTTCATGGTCATTGGAACAAATTGTTCTTATCCACCCATTCCACCGGGGGAATTCTTCACATGCTTGGGGTAGACATTCCCTTAACTCATCCACAAGTTTGAGGCCTGTTGGTTACCCTTAACCTAGTTTCACTTGGTTGATGAAACAGTTTACCTCTGTGCAAGCTACAGCTATTTGGAGCCACAGATGAGAGTTGAGTGAAGGTGGACAGCAAAGGTAGGTGAGCAGCCCTGAAAAAGGCCCAGCAAGCCCTCACACCAGAGGTGCTAGTCCTCTGTGAACACCCCAGCAATAAGAAATTACGAATATGATGAAAACAAAGATGAGAAGACATACAAACTAACATGAGGTGAAATAAAGACAACCAGGTAAACAATATACATAGTAAAACAACATAAAAGGAAGCAACCACAACAACCTAATGGAAATTGAATGTTGTGTAACGATAATGATCAAGATTGGTTTCAGAGGAAAAAAATGAGATGGCAACTTCTTTTTTTCACAGAGGTGGAAGGACTACAGCTGTGGAACATACCTGATGATGTCATATGTTTGCACCAATGTGCTGGTTAATTTTGCTGGTTTTTTTCCCTCTCTTTTTTGGTCTTCGTTATAAAAGTTGGCTCTCTGGGAATGAATGGCAGGAGACCTAAGTGAGAAATATAAGTGATATAAAAATTAAATTCATCAATGAAATTTATTTTTAAAATGCTGCAATAATTTCCCATTTCTAAAAAAAAAAGATTAAGTCAATGTAGTCACCTTAGATTAAAGGTAAAAGGAAAAAGGAGAGGGCAGAGGATGAGATGGACAGATAGTGTTATGGAAAGAACAAACATGAACTTGGACATACTTTAAGAAGATAGTGGAAGAAAGAAGATCCTGGAGTGCAATGGTCCGTGGGATCGTGAAGAGTCAGACACGAATGAATGACTGGACAAAAACCAACAAATAACAAATACGAGGGACATCAGGACTCTGATGGTATGGTCTCTCCCATATTGTGACTGTAACTCATAGAGTTTAAGGTAAGATTCTAAGTTGAGGGGCACTCCACACAGAACTTATGGGACTGAGTAATAACATTTTAGTGAAAATTTTTAGCAAAAGACTACATTCCTTCCAATGGGCAATTCTCAATAGATAGACCCTAAAGAGATTTTAACAATCACTTAGAGGTGTGGCCTTTTGATTGAGTCCAAGTTTTACAGAACAAATCCTTTTATTAAGGGCATTTGTTCTGTGAAGTTTGGATTCAGTCAAAGGACCACACCTGAGGACCTGGAAGGCCACATGTGACCTTGAGGCTGCAAGTTCCTCACCCCTGACTTAGAAAAACACCCGAGTTTTGTTGATGAGGAAGATGAAGATTGGAGAGGGAAAATTACTTGCCCAAGGTCACACAGGCAATGAATAGCAGGGCTGTGATTTGAATCCAGGTACACTGAATCCAGTGCCAATGGCTTTTCCATTAGACCTTATCATGTTGCTTTTACCAGCTCTCTGTTCCAACAATTCATCCTCGATCTTGATCGTTCCTATTCAAAGAGCTCACAATGTTTACCATATTAGGTGCATTGTAATCCTGCTCTACTTCCCTTGGGAGTCATCCCTCTGAAGTCAGTGCCAGCAATTTGATTCTGAGAAGGTGGAAGCTCACAGAGGGCAATAGGTCACAATATCCTGCCTAGGAAGATTTGGGAAATAAATTCCAAGGGTGTTTACACAATTTCATTCCCCTGAGACTCTTCAGATTAGGACAGACAACTCCCACACCAGGAAGGAACCACCTCTGTTTCCCCCCATCAATACAGAGGAATGGACACCAATAGTTGTTATGTTTCCTGATGTTAGAGAACCTGGTTCTCTGCCTTTAATATCTTCCCATTCTAATTTTCTTTACATGCTGTTGCTATAGTACTATTCCCCAATGAACATCTTTAGTTATATCACTCTGCTATTGAGAAATTTTTAGTTTCTCCATTGCTTATCATTGTTGTCCTGCCTCTGTTGTTTTTTTTACTCCAATCCATTCTGCATATAGCTTTCTAGATTAATCTTCCTGCACATCCAGTTTGATGTGTCATTCCCATCTAACACCTTTAGTGGCTCCCCATTGCTTAGAGAATAAAGCCCAAAATCCTTAACTTAGCATTCAAGGATTCCCACTGTCTGCTTCCAACCCATCTTTCTACCTTATCTCATTCTGCTACCCCTCATTGTATAGTAAAACCAAATGGGGCTACTCATTCTTTCTTGGTTTCATCCTACCCTCCCCCCAGCCTTGTGCCTTTGCACAATCCAACATTCCTGGACAGAATACCTATTCCACAATCTCACCCTGCTAAGTCTATTTCAAATTTTCATTGAGTTCAATTAACAAATTTCTATTCTCTCCCTTGCATTTTTGTTTTCTCTCTCTTTCATATGACACACACATATCAATCAATCAATAAATATTTATTAAGGGTCTACTATATTCTAGCTAGTATGCATTGAGATTACCAAGAAGGCAAAAGACAGTACCAGCTCACAAGTAGCTCAAAGTCTACGTCAAATTCTTCATCCTGAGTCCATCACTTCTCTGTCAGGAGATGTGTATCTTGCTTTATCATGAACCATGGTTGGTCCTTGCATTGATCAGTGTTCTTAAGCCTTCAAAGTTGTTGATTTTTACGATGTTGCTCTTATTGTATAAATTATTATCCAGGTTCTGCTCACTTTTCTCTCTATCGAGTCTTTGCTTTCTCGTAAGGGTCAACTTAGGCTATCAAATTCTCCAAGAAGCTATGGTCACTGTTGGGCAGAAGAAAATTCTGTCTTCTCAAGCATCTCATGGATAGATGTCCACATGTTCATAGTTCTTGTGCACTTACTGACCTTCGTTATACTTATTTGCATCTCTGCTGTATTCCCTAGTGGGCCATAAACTCCTAAAACTATGGTTTATTGATTTTTACATGGCTAGTGCCCACCACAGTGCTTCACAACATATAGTAGTTCATAAATCCTTGTCAACTGAATTAATTAGTAAAATGCTCCCATGTTTAGCATGTGACCAACAAAATATATCAGAGATAGAAAAAATATAATTCAATTATAATATATATACTTCACATATTCAAATACATATTTCAAATATAATTAAATTCAGCAAAACATGTATTAAGTGATACAAAGTGGTGATATAAAGATATAGAGACAGGCAGATCAATTAGGATGATATGGCAATATTTGAAATGAGAGGTGATAAGGGACTGAATTGGAGTAGTGATTGTGTGAGGAGAGAAGGAAACATTTGAAAGATGTTACAGAGATAGGAAAAATGGGAGGTGTTCAATCCCTAATGTATAGAGATCAGACAACATCCTTACCTTTCTCCTTTACTCACTGCCCCATCTTAAGTATGGGCATTACAAAGCTATAGGGTGAACCCACGGGTGGGAAGAATGAGGGAATTCTAAAATTATAACAGCTGGATAAATATTTTAGGTGGGGGTGGAAGTGGAGGTTGGGGTGGGGGAGGGGATCTTTGCAGAGGCAAAATCTGACTGATTAGAACATCTTCCAGACTCAAGGGATGAGAGACATACAGAAATCCTTTTAGGTATGCTATCCAGTTCACCAGCACACGAGAGTGGCTTGAAATTCCAACAGAAAGCTCAGTTCATGAATAAAAACTGTGGTTCTACCTGGAGCTTGCTTTTTGTCACATCTCTCAGGAACTTGGCTCTGATGAGAACTCTAATACAGACTGATTTCTATCTTAGGTCCAACATCCATTTCTCTGAAATGACAACTCCCTTGATATAAATTGGCTGTCCCTATTTAACCTACATGAACAGAAAGACTAATTAGATTTCTGTGATGCCTAAGATGCCCTTTCACCTTCAGAACCAGCTGACTTAGCCTAAGGGTGACACAAGCTGTCCAGAAGCTTGTCCCAATTTGACTCCCTATTTCATAAGATCTTGATCATTGTAAGGGTCAAAGGGACATTGTTGAATGTTATGAAACTTCTCATTGTTCTTGTGTTAGGAAACAAGCATCCTTCCAGTTCTGAAGCCTCATTCGGGAATCCCCTCAACTCATAGGGTGCTAGAATCACAGAAATTAGGTCTGGAAAGGATAGGAAATAATAAATTCTGGTCCAACACCATCATTTTAAAGGTAAGAAAGCTGAGATCTGGAGGTTAAGTGACTTTTTCAAGGTCAGAAGACTAGAACACAGGTCCTTTGCTTTTTACAATATACAGCCCAACTTCTCATGCGTTTATCACTACAAATACACTGGGTAACTGAACATCTGTTAATCGCTTTCCCTAGTTCTAATTCCACCACTTAGCTATATGACACAAAGCAACTCATTCAATTTCTCTGTACTTCAGTGTCCTATCTGTAACACAGAGATAATAATACTTGTATAAAAAATATTGCTATGAGCAAAGTGCTTTGTAAAATTTAAAGCACCATAGAAGCATGCACTATTATTATTTTTTATTAATCAGATGGGGAGCACGGACTGAATGTTCTCTGAGATCCTTTTTAAATCTTTAATTCCATGATGCTTCCTGAGAACACAAAAAAAACAGCTTCTCATTTGTAAGGTGAGATTCATGTCTTTTAAGACAAAAATTTTCCCCATTTCTTCCTAAAAGATGTCTTAATAAATTTAATATCAAAACACAGTCAGACATTTTGTTGGGAGCAATATTCTCAAATCTATTCAGATCTTATACTTGCTTTATCATCAGACTTAGGAAGAAAGTCCTAGAGACTTTTTCATATGGATAGTTTCAGTATTCATTTTGACCATGGCCCAGAAAGTCTTCTGCAAATTTGCTGGCAATTGGGACCCATTTAATCAGCAGAATGCATTGATTCCGTTGCTCCTTCAAAGGTATGTGCTATCGATCTCACATCTTTCTTAATTGCATACCTGGAAAACTCGCTTCTCATGGATGCTTTTGGGTTTTTAATTTGACATCTTCGTTTCCAAACTCAGGGCCTGGCAATTGTCAAATATTTTCCAATCTGTGTTTTGATTGAATCACAAAGGTAATTTTCTGAGAACTCCTTGACTTGCTGAGCATTTTACTTCACAAAGCTCCAGTATTAGGGAAGAGACATTATGGATATTAATGGGGGTATCTGTTGGTGATACTAAGAGTATGTGAGGCAGCTAGATGGATAGAGTGGATTAAACATTAGACCTGAAGACAGGAAGTCCTCAGTTCAAATCCAGCCTCAAATGCTTAATATCTGTGTGATTTAGGACAAGTCACTTAATCCCTTTATGCTCAAGTGTCCTCATCTGTAAAATGAAGGTTATGATAGCACTTGCCTTCCAGGTTTGTTGTGAGGATAAAAAGAAATGATATCTATGAAGAGTTCTGCCAATGTTAAAGTGCCATATAAATATCAGTTACTATGCACCTCAGTTTACAAAGCTCACACTTTCTCACAACAGGTGTCTGTTCATGTTTAGAATGATGATGATATTTATCAGCAAGTATTTCATGTCAATTAACATGGTCAGATTTACCCCCTTTTTAAAACTATCACTTAACTCTTCCATGCCATCTAGTTATTGTCCCATAACCCTCCTCCTTTCAACAGACTCCTAGAATTAGTTACATTCACTGCTTT